CAAATATAGTAAAACTAAGAATATAAAGTATCTTTTTCTATATTATATATTATATAGGGAGAAACGTTTTAGACTATTTAGTCTATTTAAAGGAAGCCTGGAAGCTAGTACTTTTAATCTATAATTACTATTATATACGGAAATTGGGATATTAAATATACTAGTATTCTTAAAAGAAACTAGTATATATATAAGAAAATGGCATATTAAGCGAAGTATAGAAGTAAAGGAAGTAGAAATAGGGAAGGAAATAGGAGAGGAAATAGGGGAGGAAATAGGAGAGGAAATAGGGAAGGAAATAGGAGAAGGGGAATAGGAGAAAAGGGGAATAGGAAATAAAAAAGTATTTGTAATTTATACTTATTTTCTTTATTTCCTTAAGTTTTTATTCTAGGGATATATCCCTAACTATTTATTATACCTATATTGGATTTTGGGCCTATATATTAGCTACTGAGACACATGCTAGCTAGCTAGCCGTATTATATAGTTCTAAACTAATAAAGTATATTAAAAAAAATAAAAAAAATAAAAAAAAATTTAATTAATATTACTAATCTGGATAGTAAAGAATACAGATTTACCTCCTCCCTACTTATTTCTCTATTTATATTCCCTCTTAACTCTCCTATCTCCTGATCTAATCCCTTATTTTTTTTTTTTTTTTTTCCTTTTAACGTGCTTTATTAGTCTAGAACTATGTAGCACGGCTAGCTAGCTAGCGTGTGTCTCCGTGGTTTATATACAGGCCCAATTTCCAATATAGGTGTAATAAATAGTTGGGGACGTACCCCTAGAACAGTAATAGTAAGGAAATAAAGAAAATGAGTATAAATCGCGATTCCTCCCCTATCCCCTATTCCCACTCTCCTATTTCCACATCCCCTATTTCCACCCCTATTTCCACCCCTATTTCCTCCCCTATTTCCTCCCCTATTTCCACCCCTATTTCCTCCCCTATTTCCTCCCCTATTTCTACCCCTATTTCCACTTCTTCCACTTCCACGCTTCGGTCCATATGCCATTTTCTTATACATATACTAGTCTCTTTTAAGAATACTAGTGTGTTTGGTATACCAATCTCCGTATGTAATAGAACTCGTAGGTTAAAAGCACTAGCCTCCAAGCTACCCTTGAATAGACTAAATAGTCTAATTCGTTCCTCCTTATATAGCTCGCAATATAAAAGGAGGTGCTTTGCATTCTCAGTCTTGCCACATTTGCATTTGTTATTAGACGCTATTTTTAGCCTATGTAAATAGGATTTTATATATCCGTGGCCTAGCTTTAATTAGAAGAAGGCACTAGCTAGTAGCCTTAGAGTTCCTAAAGGTAGCTGTATTTTCTTGGATACTTTCCACGGATATATATTGCTATACGATTCTAGCTGGGTCTTTGGTTTAGTATAAGATTCTAAAAGTACTCTATACTCTTGTTTCTTAACTTTATTGATTTGGACCCCTAGGAAAGCAAAGGAGGTTTTTACTGATTCAGGTTCTAATATAGGAGAAGTAGTGCCTATTTTAGCTAGCACGTCTGCTTCTTCGTTCCCAATTATATCTGTGTGGCCTGGGACCCAGATTAGTTCTATACTAGCTCCTTTAGCTATAAGGGCTTTAGTAGCTAGTATAGCTCTAATCTGTTGACTTTGTCCCGGCTTATCAGAAGGAGTCTTTAATCTTAGTAAACCAGCTTGGTTATCTGTATAGATATTATAGAGCTCCCCTCTCTTTGCTTTACTACTAGCGTATTCAATAGCTCTAGTGACGCCTTCTAGTTCTCTATTATAGACTATAGCACTAGCTCCTATATTCTGGCTTTCTCTATGTTTAGCTACGACCGGAATATAAGGAGTTTCGTGACTATAGACAACGAGTCCTAGGCCTATTCCAATTCCTTTCTGAGTTTGAGATCCATTTATATATATAGATAAAACGGAGCTATTATTATATAAAGTCTTTAAATAGAGGTTATGTAATATAGTAGTCTCTTCCTTAGACTGTCTTGATATAGTGATTTTATAAGGTACTTCTCTGTTCCAGGGAGCAAAGTAAAAGTGTCTTATAGTCTCTAAGTCCTTAGGGACTATAAGTTCCTTAATAGAATCGACTATAATTTCAATTTGGGACATTTTAGCCGTATGATCTCGAACTAGATCTATATTTAGACTATAAATAGAGTCTATATCAGAGTCTACTGATTCTAATTACTTAGATCTTTGGAAGGACTTCTCAAACTCTAGTCTAATAGGGTGATTTAGACTTAATTTAAGGATACGGAGGGCATATCGACGACGACTATGGTTTAGCCTTATAATAGGTGGAAGTAAAGCTAATTCGACCTCTATAGGAATAATAGGAGCTGATTTAAATACTCCTAAGGTTTTCCTTAGGGCTAGGTTCTGGATAGCTTGTAAAGGCCTAATTTGAGCTTTATTTTCAGTCTTTCACCATAGTAAGGAACCATAGTCTATTACACTAGTAATACAGGCTAAATATAGCTGTCTAATTACAAATGGAGATAAACCACGTGATATGTTCGTAAGTCTCTGAACCCTATAAAAGGCTTGTTTTGCTTTAGAAGTCCTATAGGCTATATGTTCCTTAAAACTGAGCTTCTCGTTATAGTATATTCCTAGCCATTTAACTACCTTACTAGGGAGAACTATAGCTCCGTTAGGTAGTTTTAAGCTAGGCTTATTTTTGGAATTATTAAAGTAAATAAGCTCAGTTTTATCTATATCAAAGCTAATAGCGTTCTTATTCCCTAGCTCAAATATATCCTTTGCTTCTCTTTCTAAAGTCTTTATATTTTGTTTAAGACTTTTAGAAGCAGTAGTAAGGGTTATATCGTCTAAATAGGACTTAAAACTGACATTTGCTAATCTAAATAGATCTCTGATATAGATTAGGAATAGTATAGGTGATATAGGACTACCTTGTGGAATGCCAGTAAGTATAGACTTAAATGCTTCAATACTATTATCAAAGGCTAGTCTTAATACCCGGTCGTCTAGGAACGACGATACCCAGAGAATAAGGCTAGTAGGTAGTAATAAACTAATCATGATCTGTAATAGCCTATTCTTGGATACGTGATCGAAGGCACTTTTGACATCTAGGAAGAGAGTGCTAGTTTTCAGCTTATAGGACTTATTAGTCTCTACTTCATTCTGTAGTAATAAAGCAGTGTCAATAGCTGACTTATGTAGCCTACCTCCCATTTGGGAGGGGTATAATAGGTTACTAGTCTCGGCTAAATAACTAAGTCTCTTAGCTAATATTCTCTCAGAAACCTTCCCTAAGCAATTAAGTAAGGAAATAACTCGATATGCTTTAGGTAGGGAATAGTTTGGTTTTCCTGATTTCTTTAGAATAAAGCCAGTAGCTTGTTTCCAGACTTTAGGGTAGTACCCCTTATTAATAAATAAGGAATATAGCCTATAAAAAATGTCTGGAGCAGCTCTATAGGCGTGAACTATAATCTCTTGAGTAACTAAGTCTGGTCCTGGGGTTTTCCCCTTTATCTTAGAAGTGCATGCTTGTTCTAGCTCTATTCTGGATAGAATAGGCCAGTTCTACTTTAAACTAGGCCTATAGTTTATTAGGCTAATAGGCTCAGTATTAGGGGGTAGTAGGAAAAGCTCGGCTCTAAAGATATCACACTTCTCTTAGAAAGTCGACTTTAAATTGCTATTACTACTATTACTACTATTACTGCTATTTCCACTATTACCACTTAAGATACTAGGGATCGGTTCATATAAGGTATCTTTAGTGTACTTCATAGCTTTAAAGATCGACTGGGAGTCTTCATTCTCTAAGAACTTATTCCAATGCGCTAGCTTAGCGCCTTTAATAGCAATAAAGTAGGTATTCTTTGCATTTTAGAGTTCTTGTTTATAGAGAGTATACCCTGAGGCTTTAGACTTACGGCTATAGTATAGCATTGATTTACGTAAAGTCTTTAAGTCCTCATTCCACCAGGGTTTAGAATATGGACTAATAGTAGATTTTGGAATACTATTACTAGCCGCATCCACTATTCTATTAGTAAAGTCTTTAGCTAATAGATCTAGTTCATGGTTTCCAGGTATACTAGTAAGTGGAAAGGGCATATTATTAAGGCTACTAATAAGGTAGCTTGTAAATTTAGCCCAGTCCGCTTTCCTAGTATTAAATCTGACTGGATTAGAACTAGAGCTATAAGTCGACTTACTAATAGTAAATAGTACCCCAAAGTGATCAGAACCTAAGTCTGGTAGCACTTGCCAGTCTTTGATCTTAGTTACTATTCCACTAGTAGCAAAACTTAAGTCTAATACAGAAGGAGTGGACATATTAGGCCTATAGAAGGTACCTTCCCCTATTTTATTTAATAGCCTTAGAGAATGGCTCTCTATATAGCTAATTAAATAAATTACATGACTGCTTTGAGGCCTTAGGGGATCCCACCAAGGATAATATGTATTAAAATCGCCTAGTAATAAAGAGCTATCAAAGAGAGTAGTAGGTAAAATGTCCTCTCTTAATATAGTCAATATACTATTAGAGTCTTCTGGGTGAATTGCATTATAGAAATTAATTAGCTGCATTTTTAGTGCACCTAGACTTAAGTCTATAATTAGGCAATCTGGATCACTTGGTGAGTTTTGAGCTAGGCTAGCCTGTAATTCACGGGCTACGTAAATTAAGGTTCTAGGTCTCAAGGTACCGTAATTCGGGAGTATTTAATAATAGCTCGAGTATATAATAGAACGATATTTCCGATTATTACTATCCCTTGCTATTACCCATGGTTCCTGGATTACTAGGACTTTAATATCCAATTCTATAGCTATTTGCAAGACGTTTTCAGTAGTAGTTCTATTACGATTCATATTAAATTATAGTACTTTAATGTAGTTACTCATTAATAGTAATAGTAGGAATCATAGTAGCTTTAATAGCTAAGTACACTTCACATAGCTTGGAATTAGCTAAATATGTAGTACTTAAGTAATTAGAGCATTTGGTGATCACGTGGGGGCACTTTTTACCCTTCTTTTTACAGATAGAGCAAAAATGGTTCTCAGTCACATGACTTTCCCCACATAGTAAACACTTAGGTTCTCTTTTGCAAATAGAATCTAAGTGCCCGTACCCTGCGCACCTAGTGCACTGTGCAGTGCTAGAGATAGTATGATATTTTACTACCTTAGCAGAGATTCCGGCTATAAGGAGTCTATTTTTAATAGCTCTATTAGCTTGGATCTCGGTAGGGAATGCCACTACTACTGAACCGGCTCGCTGGAGGCCTGAGTCTCTCTTTTCCTTAGAAGTGGCCCAATAAGGCTGGCCAATAGGCTCTAGTCCTTTATTAAAGGTCTTGATTTCTTCTAGGACTAAGTCCATTCCTTCGGGTGTATCGAACTCACGAATAGGTATACCGTGGATAATAACTTTATACCATGGTTCCCCTTTTTGTATGCTTTTAACTAAGGGAAGCACCCCCTTTATAATCTCAATATTTTGAACCAGAAAGTCAGAGTTGAACTCAGGGGTAGTATTTACTATAATATTACCCTTTGAGGAAAGAGAGACTATAGAGATTACTAGTCCCTTGATTCCCTTAGAGCGGAAAGCAGTATTGAGCGAATTGCGGGTAGAAATAGCTGAAAAGGAAGTAGCCTGCTCTATATGAGCTAGTAGGAAGGTGCATTTCCTAGAGAGGGCTGTGTTTTTAGCATCACGTGTGCTATATAAGCTAGTGTCACGAGCACTAGTCGTATTAGTGCCACGAGTACTACCGCTACTAGTAAGTGTACTAGTGCCATTTCCTCCCTGATTTTTGGACTTAGTATGTGATACTAAAGTCCAGTTCTTTGCTGAGTTTGTAGGTTCTTGACTAGCCACACTAGCCCAAGTAGGCTTAGCTTGTGTAGCTTGTGTAGGCTTCGTGGGGGTAGTTTTTGCTTGTGTTCTTGCTTGAATTTCGATCCGTTTAGTGGCATTTTCGAGGTTCGCTACTTGAGAGGCTAGTAAAGTACTAGTATGGCGGATACGGCCGAATTCTGTGTATTCCCTGAAGATTTCTACTAGATCTAGTAGTCGAGATTGCTGGTCATGTGACGTAGTGATACTAATAGCTTTGACTATTAAGCTTCGGGCTTCGCGGATCAGTAGTTTAGCTTCGTTCGAAGCTTGGTTCTGATATTGGTAGTAGTTTCCGTGGTTTTGGTATTCCTTATCAATATCGCTATCAATATCGCTCGAGCTAGGGCCACGCTTTAGCCCGTTTAGTGTGCGGCTCTGGCGATTCGCACTAGCCTGATTAAGCTGAGAAAAAGGGGCTGCGAGTTCGTCTGAGGATATGGGGTTCGTAGTTAAATCGAAGGCGAACTGGGAACCCGGGGGGAATCGAGGTAATGGGGGGCTAGTGGGTAGCTCTAGCTCCGAGCTAGGGCTCTCAGGGAGTTCTCCGAGGTCCTGGGGGTCGATATTAGGGGGGCTGGAGCCCGGGGGATCCGGGGGGGCCATTTAGCCGGCTCTAGTTCTACTTATAGTAGGTTCTAGAGCTTGGGGCTAAGTGGATTAGGTATACTGAGTGAGTTCTATAGGTAGGTGAAGTGTGTATCTGAAAGTAAGGGGGGTAAAAAAACCGAAAATAAATTGTATGTGATCTAATCCCTTAGATTCCTCTAATATTGCCTGTATATATAATTAGCTAAGAGAGTTCTTCTTTATCCGGTAAGCTTATTTAGATACGAGTATTATAGGATTAATAGGAATATTAGTAAAGATTATAGGATCTTTAGCCTATATATAATTGAATTCAGCTTGCTTCTTAGCTACTTTATTATAAAGTAATTGGTATTTAATTCGAATGGCTTTAAGCTCGCTTTCTATAGGTTTATTTTAGAGATTACGAATTAGTATTAGGAGCTCGGAAGGAATAATTATATTAGTTCCAAGAACTTGCTTCTTTACTTATACCTCCAGATTTTTTATTCTCTTCTTCCTCTCTCTCTTTGCCGCTCGTATAATAATTCCTATTCTTTTAAGAGCTTCCTTTTTAGCTAATTTAGCCTTTATAAGCTGTCTTTTGGCCTTCTTTAGCTCTTCCTCTACTATATTCCTTATTTTAATCTTCTTCTTTTCTAGAGTATTAGATATATTTAACTACCTCCCTCTTTAGAAACTAAGCCATATATTTAGCTTAGTCTTATAATATTTAACCTATACCTTGCAAGTATTCTGGGCATCTAGCTCTTATAAACTTCCAAGCATTAGGTGGTTCTTGGTAGCCTTAATTATAACTAAATACTCTTTATAAGAGAAGAAGCTTAAAATATCCAAAATCTTATTATTGAGATTATCGAGCTATAGAACATATTCGTTATATAAAGAAGGAGGTTTTAGAAGAGTAGGTAATTAGTATTTATAAACAGGAGCAGGAGCAGAAGCAGGTATAATAAATTATATATTTTCTATATCTAATTTAGTTTCTAATTTAGATCCAAACTCCAGAAATTAAAAACTAGTATCTTTCTTTTTCTTTTTACTATACTTCTTAAGCTTTCTCTATACTACTTTGAAACTAATAGGCCAAATTCCAGTATTCTAAAAGGTATATTTAATTATATAAATAGTAAATATCTTCTTTCTTATTTTAGGAAAATTACGAAAAAAGTACTAGATATTATATTCCGGCTTATATAAGCGAATCGCATTTATAATATTAACCTATTAGTAGTATTTCTATTTCCTAAAAATACTAATATTATATAGTTAAAGTAAGTAGATTTAGTAAGAGAGGAATTAGATAATTTGTATTTTATTAAATATAGCTTTTAAGATAAAATTATTTGCTTAGTAGCAAATTACTTTATTAATTAAGAGAATATACTATTCCTTATTAGGACTGCAATTATTATACTTAATAAAATAATCTAACCAAACCATATAGATACCCTTGTTTATATATCTTATAGGAGAGACTATAATAATCTTATAGCCGGTTATATTTTTATAGAACCAAGAAACTATAATTATAACTTTAGGAATAATTATTACTAGAGGAATTACTTTACTATCTATAAATATATACTTAATTATTATAAGAGACATGCGATTTTCTGGTATTCCTATATATATCTCCTTAATTCTAATTAGAATAACTACTTCCTCTCCTATAAATATACAAATTCGTATTTCTTTCTTATCTATATTATATATCCGATCCCTATAGCATATTCTAGTTTCCTTTAATACCGGATAATATTTAGTTTCAAACTAGTCGCATAGGCTCTATTTAGTATAGAGATTAATATAGTGGCTCGTAATAGGCTTTATCTTAATTATATAGAGTTCTGAAGTATTCTTTAGCTATTAAGAGAACTACTTCCAAGATAGAGCCATTTTATTATCCTCCGTTTATATCCATATTATATAGTTATATATTATTTGCTTTATAGCTCCCTTCCCTTTATTAATCGCATGTAATACCGTATACTGAATTAATGCCTTGTATTAATTAGGATAGAGGATCTTATTTTATTTCCCCTTTTATATTCTTACTATCCCTATCTTTTTCCTCTCTCTCTACTATGCTTTCCTTACTATATCTTCATTTCATATATAATACACACGTACTATAGTTACAGGAGTCTCTTCTGGATTAGCCTTAAGGAACTAAATAGCCTTATAGAGCTTATTCTTCTCTGGTATATTACAGAGAAGTATATTCTTGGGGAGGTTACTTAGGCGAGCCATTACTATCGAATTTAATAGATTTTCAGGGTAATTTGGGCTGGTAGTAATTAAATTAATTGATTTTTACTATAGGTATTCTATATAAATTAGAAATTTTTGCGATTAGTACGGGATACTTCGCTTTCCCGGGACACATTGCTTTCCCCGACTAAAGGGTAGGGCCCCTTTAGCGCGACGTTAAGTCCGACTATTAACGGCTTTTATAAAGCTCGGAGACGAGCTTATTCCGAAGGGAGGGGGTAATGTTACGATTTAGCTTTTGATCTTGTTAGCTAATATGGTTAGCTAATATGATTGCCCATATCCCGTTGCCTCCTAGACGCACGTGACGCGGCCGCCTCGCTAGGGAAGTAGGCTTGGAATGCACTGGAGATATTTAGAAGGCTAAGCCCCTTCGGGACTAGCGTACTGTGGGGTATATATACTTTCTTGCAGCCTCCTGTATTCTAGTTTTCTCTTCCTTAGCTTTGAATCGTCTTTATAAGAGACCTTCTACCTTACTTTCCAAGCCCTGAATACCATACCCGTAATACTTATAATATTATTATAATAAAATATTATTATTATATTATAATAATAATATTATAATAGGTATATGTAATGGCGTATGGACAGGTATTAGATGTCGTGGATCTAGTTTCCTATTTTGGGTATAGCTTGCGATCGGAATTATATAGATCGCATAGGATTTCCTAATTAAGTAAAGGGCTTTATATGCCTGGCTAAGTACTAGGGAATATATAGGGAGATGCTCCTAGCTTTGGAAAGGGCATTAATTAGTCTCTTATTAGAATTAATTCTTGGAATTAGTTATACTTACAAGCGTTATTTCGTAGCTTACTTACCTTAACTACTTATATATTACCCTGCTATTACATACCTTATATTCTAATTAATCTAACCTTTAGGGAGTAGTTTATTATGAGGTAATCAAGCCATTAATAAACAAAACCACTAATAGCTAGAATATTAACTAGAAGAAGTACCTCTATTATTACTAGAGTAATCTAGTCGAATATCCAGGGGAGCGCCTAGTCAGCTACTCTAGCTACTGCCTAATCAGGAAAAGGGAGTAGAACTTAGATATCCCTAGAACTAGCTAGTAGGATAATAATAATAGAGAAGCTGGCGGCGGCTCGTTATTATATTACTAAGTTAGAAGTAGAGATATAATAGAGGGAGGATCTAGAGAATTTAGAAGCTTAGATTTATTATCTTAAGAATATTTAGATATCTATTATAGAACCTATTATATTACTAGTAGTATATTTAGTTTATAGGGCTTTAAAAACCCGAGAATTACTAACTTATAAGGGGAAAAGTATTAAGGAAGCCTAGAACTTCTTTTACTAGGCAAAGCTAAAATAGTATAAAGATAGCGGGATTACTTAGGCTATAGATATAGTAAAGATTATATATTATACTTCTTGCTTTAAGGATATAGCCAGGAATATCTGGAAGTATAGGAAATAATTAGTAGGTATTAATACTATAGATTAGGAAATCTTTATTAAGTTTATAAAGAATTCTATCTTGGATCCGGAGAATTATAGTAATAATACCCTTACTAAGTTTAAGAATATAAAATAGTAGCCAGGTTAGAGTATTTAAAGCTTTATATCTTACTTAAATAGCCTATTAGATAACTTGGGATATACGGATTTACTATAAGAGCAGAATAACTTATTTAGTAGCTTAAGGCAAGAGATTCGGGACAAGATTAATTACTAAGGAAATACTTTATAAGAAAGAAAGAAGCTTATTTCTATAGTTATAAGGATTAAGAATAACTTAAACTAGTCTACTTAACGGGAATATAATAATAAGCTAATAAGTTAATAAAAGAAAGGAAATTAGAGAAAAAAGAAAAAAGATAATAAAGAGAAATAAAAAAGAAGTATATTCCTATTATAAGGTTTATATAACCAGGGTAGCAAAAGTATAGTAATGGAATCTAATATAGTATTTGTATTAGAATCTATAAAACTAGATATAACTTGCTTTACTTACTAGAAGAAGAATTACTATATTACTACTTGCCTAAATTAGAGAAAACTAACTTACTATAACTATAATAAGTCTAGCTATAAGGCATATAAGTACCTAGAACTAAAGAAGCCGGGAAACGGGTATATCCTATAATAGTTATACTTATTTATATTATAGAAAGTAAGGCCCCTAAAACGAGAATAGTAATTAAGATTACTATTAAGATAAGGAAAGATAAGTAAAAGATTAGAATATTAGTTAACTCGGGTATAAAGGCTAATTATATAAAGAGGAGATTAGCTTTAAATATAAGTATTCTATTAATATTAAGAGTAACTTCCTTATTCTTATTAGAAAAAAGAAGAATTCATTTATATAGAGATTATATTCTTGGGATTATTATTAAGAATATACTAGGAAATAGAAGAAAGACT